GTTTTTTACCAACTTCTTTACCATATTTTTAAAGAAACCTTTGCAAGTAAAAATTTAAACTCATGCCCTTTGTGCTCGTCATTCCTAACATCTGTTGTAAATACAAAATATCAGTTATTAAATATAAAAAGCAAGAAGAGAAAAACATTTCTGGATATTCTTTAATGCTTGTTTCCCATCTACTCAGAGAGGTAAACAAACTAAATATCTAAAGGTTTATTTTCTGAAGGGTGGGGGTTGGGGGTGGACATGCCTGTGTRTGCTTACCTGTGCAGGAGACTCAGAGAGAGCTGAGCATGAGGAGATAATTAGGTTTTTCKCTGTGTGTTTAACTTGAGATGTGGCTTTAACAATGGCTCTTGTTGCCATTATTTTGAAAGTGTTTTGTTAATAAAAGCTCAAAAGAGCCCATGGGTGACCTTTGGTTCCTTTTACTGCAGGCTCAGGGACATTAGCATTTAGTGCACTTCAGTGTGACRGGAGTGTKGATAGTTGTGACGATCCGAGAATCAGCACTATTATTAGAAGGTTGCAGGTGATCGGGCGCCCATGGGCACTGTGTTGGTGACCCCTGATCTATATTATTTTAGCTTGTATAGCCATTTTTGTCACCAAAAAATTGTGGTTACTGTAATTACATCCATATATGGGTAGACAGACAGAATTTACAGTTGCATGAAAAAGTATGTGAACCCTTTGGGATTTCTTGGATTTCTGCATAAATTGATCGTTAAATGAGTTCTGATCTTCATCAAAGTCACAACAAGAGACAAACACAGTCTGCTTAAACTTATAGCACACAAAAAATGAAATGTTTGCATGGTTTTATTGAACACAACATGTAAACATCCACAGTGCAGGCTGGAAAAAGTATGTGAACCCCTAGGCAAATGACTTTTCTTAGAGCTAATTTGAGATGGAGAGAGCTTCATCGGAGCTAAACAAACAAACAAAAAAAAAGAAATCTGAAGTTTCTATGTTGAACAGTTTCTGAGTTATAAGCTATTTTGCATGTCCTGACATCCCCACTTTCAAAGGAGCCCCCTCCTCAAATATGGGGTCTGTCTTAAAACCGTTGGCTGGCACAGTGTAGGTCAGACTCTTCTACAGTCCTGCCAAATTTCATGTTGATCAGTGCAGCTGTTTTTGTGCTACGGTTCACCAAAAATCACTGGAAAAAATATAAAAACTAGATACCGCATAGCGGTAACATAATGACACCATGCACAAATGCACCAGCACTCAGAAGTCTTTATTCCTAATATATGTCATGCTACTAGGTGCATCCCAAAATTGTAGTGGTTTGGGTGGGGGTCTTTTTTTTTTTTTGGGTGGGCGTTCAATCATATGGATAGCCCCTCATCAGAGCTAAACAACCAAAGAAATCTGAAGCTCCTGTGTTTAATAGTTTTTGAGCTACAGTGGTTTGCAAAAGTATTCATACCCCTTGAAC